ATTATAGCTAGACATAATACACATCTTTTCAGGGTGCATGTTCGGAATTTTGCTGCAACCCTCAATAGGGCCACATGTTATTTTTCAAATTTGAGTCACTCCTAAGATAAGTGATCGAAACTCTTTGAGGTGAATGTGCCTTTAAATGCTAACAATGTTTTTAGCTACGCAAAGAAATGTCTCTCCGACCTGGCAGAATATAGCAAGGTTACCAAGAACAACGGCGACGTGTTCATCAACGTACAGTACTCAATTCTCATGTTCTAATGCGATAGATGGCAGCTACGGTATTGAATGGAGCTCCCATACGGAGGCAGACGGTGCATGGATACGTTTGGATTTTGGATCTGTTTACTTTGTAGACAATATAAAGATTTTACAAAGATGTCATTCCAGCGCTGGTATTATCACCGTACGCATAGAGATGGACTCGTTTTCAACTGATGTAAGTATACTAGATTTCCAAATGGCAATACTGTATTTTAGGCCTACGACGAACTAGTTCGAATCAGTCACCCAGGGGATAATGATCCCCTTCTACACGCCTCTTAGATGCCATGAATATTATGAATGAAAATTAGGTCCATGTTCTTCAACTGAAAAGGGACAGACAAATATATGGTAAATTGTTTTACTGGGAGTAATTCTTTTAAAGCCAAGCACCCTCCAAAGTGTTTTGCGGTGCATTTGGAGACTTAGTATGGAATCCATAAAGGCCAGCTGGGAATAAATTTTATTTAATTGATTTAGAGATTAAAGGCAGAATCAGATCTATGGGGGTGAAAAAATTACAAGCAATGTGTACAATTGACCTACCAATCTATTCCTCACAATCTCAAATACAATATCTCCCAAAAGATTCATAATATGTTATAAATTGGTGAAGTTATAATGGATTCAAAGTGCAAAAATTAGTGAAAAATGTTTAAATTCTCCCAAATAACCATTCTTATAGAAAAATACGTTATGGTAAATATCTTAAGTTTCCTGAAATAAAATATGCACTTTGGTGATTTTAAGAAAATAGACTTGAAAAAGGCCAGAAATATTCTAAAATTGAAACAATATTTTGTTGGGCTGCTCGCTCGATCTAATTCTCTCTTTAAGGTGAATTGGCGTTTGTCGATCTAGATGATCTATCTCGATGGTCGTCTTCCATCATATTTATTCTGTAACTAACAAACTATTTTTCAACAGGCAACATTAACTCCAAGTACTGACGCTAGTGCATGTTTTCAAAATCAAATATGGGATGACGTCATCGTAGGCTCGGAACGTCCAGAATCGTCTAGCCTTAAAATCACTGTACTTACAACAGTAGCAGGTGCATATGATGTCGGATTTAGAGAGATACAGGTCTATGGACGTGAGTAAACTGTTTCTATGTCGCGATATCAATTTGAATTATAAAGTTCCTACTAGAATATAGTACATTCTATCAAAAAGATCTTACTGTAAAATAATTTGTCAGACATCCACAGAGCTTCGTCAGTTACATTGTCGGGAAATTCGAAATTAGGGTTTGATGGCTCCAAGTGCCGTGTTGACAGGCTTTTCATGTCGACTCATATACCCCATTCACTCAGGAAGGGTCGGGATATGAAAACGAAGTGTTGTCTCAGTAGCTGAAATTTTAACATTGTACTTCGAGAGAACACTGGTGATCCACTCGATTACGCTGGTTAACCGTTTTGGTAACGATTTTTCTTTTTTCCTTATTTCACGCGTTGTAGGCAGAATCCCCACGACGTTTTTTCTCACAACGTGCATCAGTATCCTATGTTTTAGAAAATGTACATGTTCGCGAAAAAATAGCTCAGAAGACAACAGAATCGTCGATTTACTTCATCACTTAAGTTACATAAACGGTTTGGGTTAAAAGTGCAGATCTTAACTGTTTTTCGAAAAACCGTTTATGTAACTTAAGTGAGGAAGTTATGTTGTCTTCTGAACTATTTGTTCGCAAATATGTACAATGCATCTCATCCCCTGGACAACTCATCTCCTAGACAAATCATCTCCTAGACAACTCATTCCCTGGACAAATCATCTCCTAGACAACTCATTCCCCGGACAACTCATCCCCTAGACAACTCATCCCTGGTCAACTAATCCCCTAGACAACTCATCCTTTATCACATGAAGCTAAATTGTAAAATGTTTCTGGAAAAGAAATATTTAATTCAAAATATTATTAACTTTATTGAAACAAATAAAACAGTCAAAATGTGCCATTAAAACTTTCGTCTCTTGTCCTTATATCACATGACTCAATATTTCTTTCTGCATAACTTGGAAACATGAATTTGAGTAACTTCATCTGTGAATGCTGTGAAAAAATAATCTTCTGATTTAAGAATATTTTAACTATGAACAACAAACATTACAAGACATAAACGGGGCTTCTTCAATCAATGTTAAAATATAATCTTGAAATTGTATGTTTAAAAGTAAAATTAAAATCAAATATTTATAAAACAAATCAGAGATTAATTGGTTGAATATCTCCTTGACAATATCATCGTTTTTTAATAATTTTCCAGATTTCCCCTCAGAAAGTCTTTGTTCATCACTGGTACTCCACTCGATTACGCTGGTTACCGAAACGAATTGTTTCGGTGATAAAATGTCAGAACCTCGAAGGATGATTTTTCTTTTTCCCTTATTTCACGTGTTATAAACAGAATTCCCACAAGATTTTTACCATAAACGTGTGTCAGTATCATATGTTTAAGAAAACGTACATGTTTGCAAACAAAGAGTACAGACGACAACAGAATCGTTGATTTAATACTTCACTATTGTTACTCAAACCACGGACTTTTCAGGTCCGTGCTCAAACGGAACGGCTTAGAATTATACGATATCCTATGATTTTGAGGAATATCATTTTTATCTACGAGGTGATATTGATATCTGCACGAGAGAGCGAAGCGAACGAGTGCATATATCAATATCACCGAGTAGATTAAAATGATATTCTGAAAAAATCATAGGATGTTCTTATTATCCTACATTTACAAGGAGTGTACTAAATGTATAATATCATTGCAAAATGAATTTCATGCCAAATAGAGTCAATTTGGCGGGAAATCAACAAGCGGAGTATATCGTCACAATATCCTCCGCATATTGGGGTTTCCGGAGTATATCGTCACGATATCCTCCGGATATTCATTTTGCCCATAAATATCAAATTTATTTTTTAATGTTATTATACATTTAGTACACTAAGTGTAGGATAAGGGCAGATCTTAACCGTTTTGAAGTTCCGTTCTACAAACATGTATATTTTCTTAGACATCTACCTTATAATCTCTACCAAGCTCTGTCATTTTTTGTTTTAGTTGCTGTCAAACAAAAGCAGTTGGACTTATACCCTATGTCAGGTTGCATTGGTCCCATAATCCGAAGCTATTTCAACATCCCATTGCAAAGATGCATTGACTACTGTTTGGGTATGTAGGTGTATTATTTTCTTTTAAATTTTTATCATTCGTTTTCACTTTTTGATGATATAATATCTGTGTTGTTAAAATGGCACAGTCTCCAATTTTGGCCAGAATTTACGACGTTATATAAACCACTAACTCACCGGGGCGTATCGAAACCAAAACGCCCCGCAAAACCGTTAATTTGAATTTTAAACCTACCCTTTCTTTGGAAAATCAATGACTGTGAGTCTCACAGTACACCGTTTTTCTTCAAACTTGTTCCATTAAAACCTTCACAGAAATACCTTTCACTAGAGACATTGCTTTTGTGTACAGAGTCGCTCGTTTTAGCGGCGTTTTGGTCCCCAGATGTGAAAAGATGCAAATCTTCAGAGATTTCAACCAAAAGCCTCGATATATCGCCAGTTTTTTTTTATTATTGTCCCCTATATTTTGGAGGTAATCTTTGAAATCATTGCTCAACTATAATTGGTGTAAAAATACAAAGCACCATTTGGTTTGTTTTTTAAAAAAGCAATGCTATATACAATTCAATTGTGTAGTCGTGTGTCATCTTTCATTATGATTACGAAGTAGGGCGGTTTGCAGGGGCGGATCTGGGAACCAACAAGGGGGGCCCAAAGTTCTGGTCTGAGAAAAAAACGTCCGAAAAAAAATTTTGGGCCCCAAAAACCCAAAAGTGGGCCCAAATTTTGAAATTTTGAGGCCCATTTTCTTCAAAATTTGGCCTAAAATTAAAAAAGAAGACCTTAGAAAGTCAATTTATGACCAAAAAGGCCTACAAATGGTACAGTTTATATTAAGTACTTTTAAAAACATTATGCATTTACAGCCTGGGTGGAGTGCCAGTGGATAGCATACGTGCTACTTGCCTTTGAAAGTCGTTGTAATTTAAAACGGCATTGCACTCCCTTAGGATTTCAACCTGAAACCGACACCGACATGAAGATGAAGATGACGTTTCAGAAAAGTATGTGCAATGGTTTAAATATCAAATATGTGCAATTTATTAGCCGACAGAAATTGAAGATCTAAGTGGGAAAATGTGTGAATTCTTCATAAACTGTGATTTGCAACAGCGTGGACTAAATATGTCAAAATATTTGTAAAGTATATGTAACTATAGGGATTTGTTTAAAAAAATATGAATTATGAGGATGGATGACTCTAAGAATTTTTTTTTAATTCACACACTATTGAACCCAAAAATTGTATAATTATGACCTTTTTTCGAAAATCGGGATTTCGATTTTAAGAGTAATATAATTCATATCATAAACTGTCGAAGAAATTAAATGATTTAAGAGCTATATATTCTTAGAAAGAGGCTTTTATGTGGTATGTTTTACTTTTATCTTGTTCTGCAGTAGTTTCCATTTATGACGTAAGCTTGTTGTAGGATCGCAGCAGCATTGCGCGTGGTACATCGGAAATAATCATTTCACAGCAAGTGACACATTGTGTGTGCCTTGGATTGATGTCAAAAATGCAGGGGTCTTTCAAAACTGGCAGTTCCCGGACGGTGATATTAGATTTGCTGAGAACTTTTGCAGGAATCCTACCAATGACCCAAATGGATTGTGGTGTTATACTAATGTCCAGGGAGAAACGGAGTATTGTCACCAGGCTACATGTAATGGTAAGGTTAAAGTAGATACATGTAAGCGTTTTTTAGAAAAAGAATTGAATAAAGCTACAAGAAATGTTAAGGCAATAGTATTATAAGTGTTTTTAGATAAAGAGTTGTGTTAAGCCGATAGCATATTGGTGTTTTTGAGATCGAGAATTGGAATATAAAGCTGAGAGCAATGGTAAAACAATAGCATTTTGGTGTTTTTGAGATCGAGAATTAGAATATAAAGCTAAGAGCAATGGTAAAGCACTAGCATATTGGTGTTTTTGAGATCGAGAATTGGAATATAAAGCTAAGAGCAATGGTAAAGCAATAGCATATTGGTGTTTTTGAGATCGAGAATTGGAATATAAAGCTAAGAGCAATGGTAAAGCAATAGCATATTGGTGTTTTTGAGATCGAGAATTGGAATATAAAGCTAAGAGCAATGGTAAAGCAATAGCATATTGGTGTTTTTGAGATCGAGAATTGGAATATAAAGCTAAGAGCAATGGTAAGGCAATAGCTTTTTGGTGTTTTTGAGATCGAGAATTGGAATATAAAGCAAAGAGCAATGGTAAAGCAATAGCATATTGGTGTTTTTGAGATCGAGAATTGGAATATAAAGCTAAGAGCAATGGTAAAGTAATGGCATATTGGTGTTTTTGAGATCGAGAATTGGAATATAAAGCTAAGAGCAATGGTAAAGCAATAGCATATTGATTTTTTTGAGATCGAGAATTGAAATGTAAAGCTACGAGTAATGTTAAGGCAATAGCATATTGGTGTTTTGGGACCAATGAATTGGTAACTAATGTAATATCTAATGTAAAGTCCTTGATAAAGTACTGTAACAGCAGTCACATGATTCGCCATGCTGGTTTCCATACGACCACTACATATACGTATCAAAGTCGTTCAATAAGTTCACGAAAAATGCTGTAATTTCAAACAAGTTTTCCTGGTGGCTTCAGAGGACTGTATCGTTAATGGGTTGAATGCCAGCGATTGTACATTAAACACAGAAATAATATTCCGAACACCTTTGGGACAATAGTTGTGACTATTATATTAAATATCATGTTCATCTACCAGGGGCGCATCTGGGAACCAGGGGGGGGGGGCAAATTTCAGGTCAGAGAAAAAACTTTTAGGCCCCTAAAACCGAAAAGTGGGCCCAAATTTTGAAATTGTGAGGCCCATTTTCTTCAAAATCTGACCTGAAATCAAAAATAAGGCCTTACAAGGCCCAGTAATGACAAAAAAGGCCCACTTTTTGGGGCCTAAAGGCCTTTTTTGGGCTCGATTTTTTTTCTGGGCCCACCCAGGGGGGGCAGATCCGCCAGTGTCTACAACGTGGAGAAGAGGAAATGCATGTGATACAACCATAATTGCCTACTATTCTCAGTCTGTTGTTTTTGTATTGAATAATGTGACGTAAAAAGTGCCCCGCCTATCCAAAAGTCAAGTTACCAAAGTTACTTTTTTACGACCAATCAAATTAGAGATGCTGATATTTTATGAATCAATGACAAAATATTTTTACCCACTTATGTGAAAATTTCATGAGAAAATATCAAGAAGCTTTGCAATGAGAGCATTTTTCTGTGAACTTATTGAGCGACTTGGTACATACTTGGGTCAGTCAAAAAGTTCTGTTTATTTATCTCTAACTTTGTCATTTTGAGGAATTATTTCTTGATATTTGGTACATCTATAGAACATACATTTGTGCAAATATTAAGTAAACATTTTATCTCAACTTTCATTGGTTACTGAATAATGGTTGCTATGGTAACAGAAGGGCGATGTACTTGGTTCAACCCAATTTTATTGATTTTCATACACTGTTATATTACATGAAATATACTTTAAACTGTCTCAATATTTAAAAACTCCTTTCTAACTAAGTCCCCGATGTCATATCTTAGTTTAATTTAGTTATTTAGCCTTCAAAATAGTCGCTTCCTGCAGCAATGACCTTTCGGTGCCTTTCTACCCAATCTCTGAAGACCCCTTTGAAACCGCCAGCCGACAATTCATACGTTTGCGCACCGCTGCCCGGAGAGCCTCATCAGAATCAAACTGGATCCCCCGAAGACCCCTCTTTAGATTGCTGAAGAGGTAAAAGTCACATGGAGATGTGTCTGGGGAGTATGGTGCTTATGGAATCCTGCTCCATTTGAGGTCTTTTAAGGCAGTCTTGGCAACATTACTTGTATGGGGACGAGCTTCTTTGTGGCGTTCATATTCATCAAGAAACTGCCTCGAGACATCAATTCTTTCTTGCTTCTGTTCTTGAGTGAGGAATCTTGGAACCCATTTTGAGGCTACGTAACGCTTTTTCAATACTTTAGTGATGATCGTATGACAAGAGCCATGAGAAATATTCAGAATAGAACTAATCTCATCCAGTGAAATGTGCTTATCTTGCTCAATCAACTCTTGTATTTTCTCAGCATTGTCCTCATTCACAGACCTTTTGGGCCGGCCAGTCCGTGCTGAATCAGACAGTTTATCCAGCAGGTTTATCCCTTTTCCAGACAAGAAGTCATTGTACCATCTACGGACATTATTATATCTTGGAGCATCCTGTCCAAAGCACCTTTAACAAGTGAATATGTCTCTTGCAGTGTTTTCCTGTTTTCTACCATACACTATATCAAGTTTCTTTGCTTTCACTTTAACAACTTGCTATGCGAATCAATATTTGACATGATTTTTTCTCAAAATCCCTTTTTCATCTTTTCATCCTGAAAATCATCTGTGTCAGCTGAAAACTGACACAATTGAATATTTCCTTGACTGTGATGTCATCAAGACAATGGAATTGGCATCAAAACCTGTCAATTTGCACTATCTGATATTTTAACATGAAAAACTGTTCAATGATTTGATGCCAAATGAAATTAATGTGACATTAAAAATATGACGTTTTTTAGCTAAACCGTGTACCCCGTAATTATGTTACCATAGCAACCATAATTCAATAACCAATCATAGTTGAGATACAATATTTAGCCGTTAGTTGCACAAATATATGTTCTATAGATGTACCAAATATCAAGAAGTAAATCCTCAAAATTACAAAGTTAGAGATAAATAAACAGAACTTTTTGACTGACCCAAGTATAAACATTACCATTATAACCCGCCTAAATGATAATGTTCGGCCAGCAAACATCATGCTTTTATTAAAAACAGTACATTTATTTTGATTCAATATTCTTCCAGATCCCTCGAGCTCTTATGTTGGTTGCTTCGTAGATTCACCGGTCGGTGATTTATTAAAAACAGTACATCTGATTCAATATTCTTCCAGATCCCTCTTATATGTTGGTTGCTACGTAGATTCACCGGTCGGGGATTTATTAAAAACAGTACATCTGATTCAATATTCTTTCAGATCCCTCTTATGTTGGTTGCTACGTAGATTCACCGGTCAGGGATCTTACTGTACACATTGGGTACACACCTAGCAAATCGGCATGTATTGAAACATGCAGGAATCTAAAATATGCATATGCAGGTACGTAATTATAACATAGAAAGTGAAGGGGAAATGATTTCAAAACCAATAAGGCATTGATGCAATATAAAACACACCACTTGAAATGCGGACTCGAGGGGTCCACAAGTATGCTCTATTGGGCACTCATAAAAGTTAAAATACAACAATCGAACGTGAAAGTAATTTCCAAATTATTAAGTCGCAAATTGTGAGGCTGCAAAGTCAAATGCATGATACTGGAATAAGATAAACCCGTTGATCACTACATGTATGATCAATTCTTCATCAAAATGATGGCCACTTCGATAATATTGTGAATATTATTGCCTAATACTTAACTACCTGGAACTTTAAATGGGATAACTAAAGTCGAAATTTTACCTTAGCAGTCGTGAAAAAAGAGTAAAATATTTTTTATGTACATCTATTGAACCATATTCAGTACGACGTGATAATGCCGCGAATTTCCACGTATCTCATCCTCTGATATTCCCTTAAGCTTTTTGTTTTAAACATATATCTGGTTAATATGTTATATCAAAACGTCTTTAGATTGTCTTTTCGAACGCTTTTTACGGTAGAGATTAAAAGGTGGATAGGGTCGAGGGGATTGGATTCATGTAAAAGGTGGATTGGATTGGGAATCTTCAAAATATGGATTTTTTCTTAAAATCTATTGATCTCCTTCTAAGGAGATTGGTGCTCTTCTCACTCACTTCCGCAATGTCAAATAATAGATGTAATATTATTATGTCACCACCAAAAGTGGTGACATATTGTTATGGTCTCCGTTTTTTTGCGACGGCGGTTGGTGGTTGGCGTCCGGCGGTTGGTGGTTGGCGTCCGGCGGTTGGCGTCCGGCGGTTGGCGTCCGGCGTCTGTAACAATTTCTTACAACTTCCTATAACATAACAAATACTGTTTAGATTGACTTCAATTTTTTTCTAAATCATCTACATGTTCTCAGAAGTTCAAATCTGACTTTACATTTGACATTTGACCTTCAATGACCTTCTCAAGGTTAAAAAGGTCTTTTTTCAACTTGCTTCACATTGACTAAATTTTTTTCAAAATCATCTACATGTTCTCAGAAATTCAAATCTGATTTTAGATTTGACATTTGACCTTCAAATCTGACTTTAGATTTGACATTTGACCTTCAATGACCTTCTCAAGGTCAAAAAGGTCTGTTTTCAACTTGCTTCAAATTGACTAAAATTTTTTTTCAAAATCATCTACGTGTTCTCAGAAATTCAAATCTGACTTAAGATTTGACATTTGACCTTCAATGACCTTCTCAAGGTCAAAAAAGGTCAAAAAGGTCTGTTTTCAACTTGCTTCAAATTGACTAAAAAAATTTTCAAAATCATCTACGTGTTCTCAGAAATTCAAATCTGACTTTAGATTTGACTTAAGATTTGACATTTGACCTTCAATGACCTTCTCAAAGTCAAAAAAGGTCAAAAAGGTCTTTTTTCATCTTGCTTCAAATTGACTAAACTTTTTTTCAAAATCATCTACATGTTCTCAGAAATTCAAATATGACTTAAGATTTGACCTTCAATGACCTTCTCAAGGTCAAAAAAAGGTCAAAAAGGTCTTTTTTTAACTTGCTTCAAATTGACTAATTTTCTTTTTCAAAATCATCTACATGTTCTCAGAAATTCAAATCTGACTTTAGATTTGACATTTCACCTTTAATGACCTTCTCAAGGTCAAAAAAGGTCAAAAGGTCTGTTTTCAACTTGCTTCAAATTGACCAAATTTTTTTTTCAAAATCATCTACATCTTTTCAGAAGTTCAAATTTGACTTTACAAGTTCTCAGATGTTCAAATCTGACTTTAGATTTGACCTTTGACCTTCAAGGTCAAAAAGGTCTTTTTTCAACTTGCTTCAAATTTACTTAATTTTTTTTTCAAAATCATCTACATGTTCTCAGAAGTTCAAATCTGACTTGACATTTGACCTTCAATGACCTTCTCAATGTCAAAAAAAGTCAAAGAGGTATTTTTTCAACTTGCTTTAAATTGACCAAATTGACATTTTGTCATGTTAATGCCTTGTTTTGCTTGGATTGGCTAGAAGGGTGGCCTGGTACCCAGTACTTTCTTATTAGTTCCAAGTTTACAAGTGAAATCAGCTAAATACATACGGAGCATCTATCGTCTAATTGGAGTATATATTTGTTAGTTGCTCAATTCGATTCCTCAAAGGGACCCAAGTGATCTAAAAAAACAGAACAAAAACTTAAAGAAACTCCATATTTTGATGATTCCGGATCCAATCCACCTTTTACATGAATCCAATTCATTCGATCCAATCCACTTTTTAATCTCTACCCTTTTTACTGTTACAAAAGTGACGTCGTTCGGATTATGGGTCATAAAGCCTAGTATACTCTAATGGGGCAAGTCGGGACCTCCATAGACTTAACATTGCGTGGGACTCGTGGGACTTTTGGGATTATGTCCTATTGATGTATACGGGATTAAGTATTGAATATGGTACACGAGCCTAAAATGGATCTAGAAAATCTAACCCATTTGTAAACTGAAACCTGGAAAATATTAAATATTATAAAAAGTAACCCGACAGTTGAGAAATGTCAGTTCTTGAATTCGTATCGTATTAGTGAAACATTTAATTATATACGTTTTTTAAATAAAAGGTTTGCAGTATAGTCGTCACTGCTTCTGTGGTACGATGTTTGGAAAATATGGAATATCCAAAAACGGAGACTGTAACATGCTTTGTGGAGATGGTAGATCTACATGCGGAGGAGGCTACAGAAACAGCGTCTTCTCAACTGGCTTCAGTACGATACCAGTAGCTACAGGTATCACAGGTAATATGTGTTTTCATGATCCACGTAGAATGAGGTTTGTTTGTTATAATGGATATTACCAAGATAGGAATAAACTCAATTCTGCCTTAACCCTCTTCCTTTGTTTTCTTTGGGATTGTTATATAAGAGAGTAGAAGGACTAATTGATGAATAAATGAAATCATTAAAACACCCTTGGTATACGCAGCTAACGAAAATTGACCGGTACGGGTCAAAAGCTGGACCGGTACGGGTTAACGGTTTTATTTGAATTTAAAACAGCCATAACTTGCTCAATATTGACTTCCTCGTGTCTAATTTGAAATATATGATGCATCCCGATGCGTTTAAGTACCCCAATTTTTTACAGATTTTTAAACGGACCAAAACTCTCTAAATGCGCATTTATGCTCTTTTCTCTCGAGAACGACTGTCTCATTTTCACGATAACTTTTATTTAGTACTTCTAACATATAAGATCTATTTTTCCCCATCAAGGTATGATGTAAATGACATGCTATTTACATCTTGTGAGTTTCAATGACGCGCGTTTGATTTTATAAAAAATGCCAAACTTTGTGACAAAGAATTTCATCAGCTATTGCCCCGAACCGGTCCGTCTTCTCGCTGCAAGCAGATTGCCCCGAACCGGTCCGTCTTCTCGCTGCAAGCAGGGTGAAATTCTTTGTATAATAATAACCCCATTCAAATTGAGTTATTTTTAATTTAAGAGAGAAAACGTCACGAATTCAAGTACACTATACATATAAATGGAAAATTTAAAGATATGGATAGAGTAAAAACTAGGTTTCCTGAAGGAGAATATAGTGATAACATAAATGCAAATAAGTACGTTGTAATATTTTGTATTCTTGCTAGGTCACAAGAGTAAACATTGTATGGTAGATGGCGTACCGGAGTCCTACACAGGAAAAATAAGAACAACACGTTCAGGTTCAATTTTAAATCACTACTTAGCCCAAGGTTTTTTTAAAGAATATCCTGTGATTATGTCACCACCAAAAGTGGTGACATATTGTTATTGTCTTCGTTTTTGTGACGGTGGCTTGCGTCTGTAACAAATTCTTACAACTTCCAATAACTTATAAATACTGTTTAGATTGGCTTCTTTTTTCAAAATCATCTTCAAAATCTCAGAAGTACAAATCTGACTTAAGATTGAACTCATGATATTGTGAGTACCTAAATGGTGACATTTTCTCATGTTAATGCTTTATTTATGTCTTTTTATCGTAAGAAGATGTATCTGTAAGAGTCGGATTAGCAGGCGAATGCTAAATATACATGATAAGTTAATATTGTTGTAATTAGTAGTGAAATAACTGCAAACATTTTTGCCGAAAATCAAATGAAAATCAATGAGTATCAAAAAATCAAAGCGCTGGTTTTAAGTTACGAAAACATTTAATTAAAAATAATTCAAAGTAATGTGTGTAAATGGCGATTTCTAAATGATAATCAAAAAATAAAACAGATCTATACAAGATATTTCTGGAAAGTAAACAATATATGAACAATTTTAGATTCCTTACACGAATCATATGTGTTGTGAATTGTTAATCCATATATAGGTCGAACGTGTCAACGTTGGGATACACAGACCCCCAATTCCCATGAATACAACGACATCCAGCTATTCTCCTCTGACGTTGCCGAGGGAGTCTCCTCACTAGCTGAACTTCACAATTATTGCCGCTCTTCGGATAAAGATATTGTTTGGTGTTTCGTAGACGGGGCTGGTGCTAACACCACCACCACAGAGGAATGCTCCGTAGCAACATGCGGTGAGACAACATTTAACACATTGGGGGAAAAAATAACCATCAGAAATTAGAGAGAGGGCAAAGATAATGAATTTTTGAATTGTTCATAATTAGGTATTTAGGTTTAAAAAATTAAATAATAACTTTACAATTACGATTAACTTTTACATTTACCTTTTTCAGACGAGGAGATAATAGGCAATAGCGAAGGTAATGTATATGATCAGCAAAGTAAGAATGTTGGTACCTACTATCAATATGTAGACAAAGAGATTCATTTATGTATTTAAAAGCTGAGAACACAGTTTTTTGAAAGATGTGTAGCACCCCCGTCACATTTCCTACGGCGATCGTACGATCTATCATTTCTGCGGCCAGTAACATTTCTACGCTCGCCGTGGAATATCTGCGGTCGATTTTTTTTGAAGTCACATTTCCTGCGGCCGCCGCACCACGAATTTTGAATTTCTGTTGATAAACGTTATACCTATTTTTAATTTATTTACATCAGCATAATTCATAAATAATGTTATTTATAGTGCTATGATAGATTATCAAATAAAAAGTGTTGAATGTTACATTGACCATTAGTAACTAAATCTTTTGTAGTATAGGTTGCTATGGTATTACATCAAACATCATACCTATTGCGTTGTGTTCAGAGCAAAGATATGTCAGCAAACCTGACCTAAAAACTGTTTCCAAATGTATATAACCCATCAAAACACTGTGGCAGACACAGGTCAACGTAAGCCCGACGTGCGGCCATCGTTTAACCTTTCTGCGGTCTGGCAACGGGGACCGCAGCAATGAACAAATATTATAACTCCGAGTTATAATTTCTACGAACTCCCTGTGGCCTGTGAAAAACTGGATACGCAGTACGGAGACCGCAAGGCAAGCGTAGTTTTTCAACGCTCGCCGCAGAAATTCATTGATTTAATGAATTCAAATGATTTAATTGATCTGCGGTCGACGTACGGCCGCCATACGACAAATGTGACTGGGTGTAAATGTCTAGTTACCTTATCCGCCACCTATATGTTCTCTTAAAATCCGTGACCTTATCATAATATGTACCTTAAAGGAAGAGGTGCATTTATTGGCAAATACCCCTATGGTCAAAATGAATAATTCTTAGGTGTAACATGAAGAATAGAATGTCATATAACTCTTTGGAAAATATTAAAGTGCTCGGGCACACATAGGCTGAGATAGGGGCCATTTAGTTTAGTGAGGTTGTATTGACTTACATGGGGCTGTTCATCATCTATTGATTATCACAAAAATACCAAAAATACACTATGACCTGAATCGATTGCAAACTTAATAATTTCACAATATGACACTATTGGTTTAAATCTCATCAAATGTGCAAATATGAAGTTTGCAATCGATTAAAAGATTGTACATTTTTTCATCATCTTTTTCCCTACAAAATGGCTATAGAATGGCTATAAATGCTCCAAAAACAACTTTTACACTTATCAAAATTCATACAACTTTGTAAAACCAAAGAATATACTATTTTATTTCATTATGTAGTAACATAAGATGTAGGGATGCGTAGGATGCAAATGGATTTTGACAGACACAAAAATACTTCCTGGTTTGGAATCATATGCCTCTACACTTCATGATTGAATTATGACCTTAATAAGTGGCCTATACATCAATACAGTGCTGAATATAGGTCAACAAGATTCTAGTGTGCATATAAATGTTATAATTAAATCAGAAAACTCATTTTGAAAAATCAGATGAATTATTTTTTTCTCATGGGGAGATCCCAATGGAGGGTGTATAAGGTCCTTTGTAACCTGGTTACATCAACATTCAATATCGACACACGGTCTTTCAACATCTCTGACATTCGAACATTCTAAAAACATAATTTAGATGAGGCGGAGCATTAATTGCGCAAGCCAAAAACGATTTGATTATTTTTTACTCGATATATTTTCAGGCGTATTATGTGAAATGGAAAAAAAGACTGAAACATTGATTACAAATGTCAATGTGTTTTTTGAATATGAAGTGTTCTCACCCGAGCAGTGTTCGCAGATATGCATGGATTATCGCTTCTGCGTAGCGGCGTCATATTATGAGAGTATTTGCTTAATATTCAAAGATGAAGGGACGTTAATTAGTAGACCAGACACAATTTCATACACCAAGAATTGCGGTAGGATGCGTAACATCTTATTAATTAATGTTTCATCATCTCATTTGCTGTTGTGCTTCTGCATGAGTTTATATATAATCATGTATTTGTAAATATGTTATGAAATTTTTATGACAAAATGTAAACCTCATTTAATGGAAAAATTTCTTTGATGAAAATTGTATTTCATAAAATTTTTTGTAACTTTTAAATGCTTTTAGACTTAAAGAATTAAGTATATTCTTTCAAATAACATTTCAAAATACATTTTTGCACTTTGCTATATACGTACATATGAATGCTAAATCATGAAGCATCACAAACTCAATCCAATCCCAAAAATGTGTCAACGTGTGATGAATGTTACAGCGCTATTACTTTCAATAGCTATAGATTGTCAATGATGTACAAAAGTCGTCCATTAATGCAAATATTATTCAACCATTTTACTTGCCTCTCTCAACTTGTTAGTTTTAATTTAGCAGGATATAGTCCTTCTAGCAGTACAAATACTATTAATTCGTAAAATGATGCAAATGCGTACCAAATTCAAGGCTTTGTGTATCGCATTGAATTGTTTTGTAATTTTAGAATCAAAGTCGATGTGTTCACTTGATACCCATGTTGGTGGGAGTTTGACTGAGGAAACGATGGGGATTGTGAGCGTCAACGTTACGTACCACGAATGTAGGTTTAATTGTATGTATGACGCGAGTTGTATGGCGGCGTTCTATGACGATGAGGATTACAGCTGCAAAAAACATACGGACGTTAAAATTAACAGTGACTACAACTACCTCGATAAAAGTGGAGTGTTGGTAGTTGAAAGATGTGGTGGGTGTCCGACTAAGCAAAATTGTTCATTGTTTTTATCTTTATTTTGTGTTAATTTCATGATATCAAAATTAAGCTTTTTCTCATCAATTGAAAATGATTTGAAAAAATGTATTCGGCAAAATCATAATTTAGCAAAATTGCAAACGCATCGGTAAAGCCCGGTATACACCAATGGGGCAAAATCCCACTTGCCCCACCGTGCCCCATGGAGTCCCATCAAGCCCCATGGAGTCCCATCAAATCCCACCGTGCCCCATTGGTGTATGTCGGGCTTCACACAACACGTCATATTATCGAAAATCCCACGATGCCCCATGGAAAGAATGAACATGTTCATTCTTGATGGGACTCCATGGGACTTCGTGGGATTTTGCCCCATCTTGCCCCATCTTGCCCCATCGAGTCCCACCGAGTCCCACGTGGGACTTCATGGGACCTCGTGGGACTCGATGGGGCAAGATGGGGCAAAATCCCACGGAGTCCCATGGAGTCCCACGGACTTCATGGGGCAAAATCCCAAAAGGTCCCACGAGGTCCCACGCAATGTTAAGTCTATGGAGGTCCCAACTTGCCCCATTGGTGTATACCGGGCTTAAATATGCTCACTAACCTAAGGGCTGTAGGGTGTAAGCACTGCCTATTATGTCGAGATAAGATAATCGGAAAGTGTTTCTGTGAATCCAACCAATGTATGTATGACAAAAATGTTTTTTTTAAATTAGATGCAGAACAGTTTCACCAATTTCCGATGGAGCATATCGCTGGACAAACTTTATTAGGCGACCTAAACGGCAACATATCACGCGACGACCGGACTACAAACACTTCTTATAGTGTCGATGCTAATGAAGGCATCGTGGGAAACGCAACATATTTCCAAAATTACGCACGTGTCTCATTTCATCTTAAGTCCGACACCTGCATGGCTGATATAGCTAACTGCAATAATGGTTTAACGATATGTTTTCTGGTTCAGTCGGAAATATCCAAGCCATATGAACTAAGCCTGAATAACAAACATACAAGTAGTCCAACCTACGAAGGCTTCGATATTAGAATATCCGATTGGGCCAGTGCCTCTATTACAAACTCAACCCACCAATGGAGCGCTGGGGTAGATATGCCCATTGGACACTGGAACCATCTTTGCTTCGTCTGGGAACCAAATGGATTTTTGTATATTTACAAAAATGGCAAATTTACCAAAAGTGGTGAACCAACTGTAATAGCAGTCACCCAAAGCGTTCACGACAATCAACTTAATATGGCATCAGTTCTTGGAGATCACATGCTCAAACATCGTATTGATGAATTATTATTTTGGGATGGAGTCAAGAGTGGTGATTTCATTGAGCACCTCAATATGGAATATATCAGTAAGTTAAATTGTCTTCAACATCGGTATAGTCTCGTATATAACTGTGTTAAAGGCGTTGCATTTTTTGTATTTTCCCGTTGACACATGCGCTTACATATCTATTTCAGCTCAAGCATGTGGGGATTTCCCGGTAGCTGAGGGCCAGATGTTCCATACTTACTATGTCGGCAGTATTCCTAGTGTATCCTACAGCTGTGATTCTGGCTACAGTGCAATGAATAAGTATACACTCAGATGTAATACTAGCTCTAGCAACTGGGAATATGAACCCACTGATGCAGCTACATCGTCAAGGAACTATAACTGTCAAAGTAAGTCACTCTACTATACCTTGCATTTGGTGTTCATGATCAACCCATTTGGCTTATTAGTAATGATTGTGTTATTTGTTTTTATTTGTCCCGTTCCTTATTAATGGTTTCTTGGATGATAGAATAATACACTAAATAAAACAATAAGACAAACAGAGTATCTTATGCATATCTAGGGGTTGGGTATAGCAGAGTGTAATGCCTGAGTTACATTTGCTCCGTTTCATCGGCCGGCGCCCGGCCGATTGAATATCCTGGTCAAAATTGTACAATTTTGAACAAAATACTCAATCGGCCGGCCGCCGGTTGATAAATCGGAGCGACTCAGGCATTAGTATCAGTGCGACTTCACATGACAATTCTTCATATGCGTCACAACAGAATGTAGATTATGCAAAGCCGAACACGTATTAAAATGTACCACGTTCTAGAGCTGATAAAACAAACATCCAATTAGTTTTCATTAATCTTGTAGACAAGTAACAGATTACCAAGTGTTTTCAGTTCAAGGTTGAACAATCAAGGCTAACATCTATTTTCATTATCTATAATGAAACCCCCTGAATAAACGTTTCTTCAGCTGAAATTCATGCAGTTAAAATCTTTAAATGTAGTATATCTTCAAAATCTATTAGTGGGACTCCTCTTATTGAAACGTTAAACTTAAATTGTACTTCTAAATGCTGAAATAGATAGGCTCTTTCCCTCTCAAATTCTTTCCCTCTATAGGCCTTGTTACAACTTTAATAAAACCGTTAATCGGATTGTTTCAAATTCGTACACATGTTAGAATGATTAGATTATATTATTTTGATAAGATGTTACCACGTTCCGCAGTTTCTCATTATCCTTTGGTATTACTTCGATTCATCATCTTATTTGTGTATTACATGTATCCTGTTTTATTAAGGGAACCTAGCCTACCTCAGGCCGGCTCTTGGTTCTGACGAAGATGGTGATGCGAATCTCGGGACCGATGCTTCCCTAGGAACATGTTATGACATCGCGCCTCAGTTTGATCCATATTTTAAAGTTGACCTAGGGGGGATATACCATATAGGAAGGGTTGAAATAACTGCTTCGGATCCAGGTAATTTGATTGATTCATTATATCCAAGTGTGATATATCATTGGAAAGATCATCCAATCTTACATTAACTGCACTTTTATTCAATGATATGTTTTGATTGGCTCGCCATGTGATATACCTTGCCCAGTTGTGTGTGAATACAGTTATGACGTGCACGGACCTGGGGACAATTCGGGAAATACGGGCTAATCTCAGCTTGAAGCGTTAATATCTGGCTTATTTAAAAAGCTAACTATGTGCATTATATATCATTTTGAAGTATTTTTTATTCGCATTTCACTGAAATTATTTTTCTCGAAAAGTGTGATGGGACCTACCATATTTTTGAAGTTAAATGTACTCCGACATCGTCAAATACGCTGTAAGGCGTAACATTTCACGCTTACATGGTTCGTTGAAATCGGGATAACTTTTGAAATACTGATCAGAATTATACTAAAATTTCACATTTTATTCATTGATACATGTGCTTTTATGACGTCACAATTGCCTAGCGGCTACAGTTCAAATCGTCTTATATGAACGCTTTTAAGATTTTCAAAATTGTGTAAGGTTTTGAAGGCGAAGGAGATAAGCAATAAGTTTACCTTTATTTAACCTTCTAATTTAGGTCTGATTTCAAAAAAAATTTAACTGCACAATATTGTCATGGCGAAATTTACAATACAATAACTGATTTCTTTATTTTTCAAATAATAAGAGAATAAGAGTTGCTTTTAGAGACTTGAAAAAATGTAACGCATCGATTTTTTACCACAAATCCAATACACATCAATTTTTACTAACGCCCTGAGTGGATTTCCTGACCGTTTTTCAAAAATCAAAAACATTTTAGAAATATTGTCCTCGAGATCTTGTTGCTCTGTGAATTTTACCAGGATTGGATAAGAATAAAGCATCTTATTTTTAGGTTGACTAAACTTGACAAAATGTAACGCCTGTCGTTTTTGACGTTATAATACTGATTGCGCCCTATACTGCCCATTGTATTGTTTTGGTATTTTGACGCCATAATGTTACTCTAATTGTCCCCAGTTTCGTGCGACGTGTAAGTATAAAAAGTAGTAAATGCTTGTCTGAATTTTATTTAAGGACTTGTTGCTCCATTTACAATACTGGTAGGGACTGATATTACATCTGACGCTAGCTTTTTTGATTTGTGCTCTGAGAGTTCTAAAAGTAACCCAGTTACATTTCTTAGAATGTATTGCTCCGCCGTTGGGAGGTACATTTTGTTACGACGTCCAGGGTTGATGAAACTTGGTTTATGCGACGTACAAGTCTTTACAAATAACAACTTTGACTTCTCAGGTAAGACTCGATTCATTCATTTAATTGATTTCATTTTAAATTTGCGCGTATGTGGACTGATGATCGGTCGAAATCTTGGTGACGATGCTATCCAACCGTCACCAAATCCAGTCGGTTTTGAAGCCAAGTTTGCTGAGTCTTGGGCACTGAGTTCCTAAAGTGATACACCTACGACTTTGTAGATTATGTGACGCATGTACTCATTGCGTTTACCCATTTTCTTTTCTATTTCCAGAAGTAACTTGTTCCAAGCCAGAGCCTGGATTAAACTCTGAAGTATATGTAAACAACGGAATAACATCAGCATACGCCGAGGGGTCGATTGCTTATTATTATTGTGGAAGTTATAATGATTTTAACATTATTGACGGGAATAAGACAAGAACATGTGCAAGTGATGGAACTTGGACGGGCGAACCATTGAACTGTAAAGGTAATGATAATTATGATTCATCAAAACCCAAGTACACTCACATATATTTTCATTTACATTTTTAAATTCTAGCCATTACTAAAACGTAATAAATCTGTTTTAGCTGACACGAACAACCTTAATACATTCCCAAACACAGAGGCTACCGTTCTTCTCCATGACTACAAAAAAAGCTCCATACGCCTTTATGATGGAGAAGTTGTTAGAGACAAGAGCAACTTCCGCCATCACGGAGTCGCTATTGGAGACAGCATCACCGATTATCAGTTGTCAGTTCCTATTCAATGGACAAATGCCTACACCGTGTTGTCGAATTATACTATTTTGAATAGATTAACGTCGGATCCGTTTACAATTGAAACCTGGATATTCACCAATAATACTTTGCGTCGTGGTTGGATGTTTGAGATTCCAGGGTCGTTGGAGTTTCTGTATTTTGACGGAGGATCAAATAGGGTTAACATCTACACTACAGAGGGAGTTGTTGGTTTTGACATGCCCTACCGTTTGTCTAATGTGAACAACGCGCTTCAATACTTTGCTATCACATTTGATGGACGTACTCTCAGAGGTTTCATTAATGGGCTAGAGAGAAACAGGACAATATTGACGGGGTCTCCAATACTAGCGACTTCAGATTCTCATATCTACATCGGACGGCCTACATTGACAAATGATGCCCTTTCTCCCGTATCATTGCGTATTACAAGGAGGGCTCTGCACCAAACTCTAATATACAATACATACTACAACTGTACGTATTATTAGACTATGTGAATTAAATAAGAAGTTAGATCAAATTTTTATTTATCAAAGTGTTATGACTCAAGGGAACAGACACAATCATAAAAAACCATAACAGTTATTTACATACATAATTAATTATTAACCCTGTACTGCCTGAACCTATGACCCTTCTTGCACTATGACATTGAATATTCATTTTACTTACCGTTGACCTAACATCTTAAACATTCATAAGGCACTGGCCATTTTACAATAAAATATATAAGGAACGGGAACTGGTCTCTAGGGAGTTCTCGAGGTAGCCAGGCAGTACAGGGATCTAATCTGTATATTGATATCACATTAATTTTACAACGAAATAAAAAGATAAATAAAGAGATAGAAATTATTTATTGATTTAAATCCTGAGTTGGTTGATAAGTATTTCGAGTAGGAAACAAGATTGTAATCACCAAAAAGTGATTACAACACTAGAATGAATATAAAGAGTTGTGTTCCTGAAAGAGCGGCGAACAATTTCCAGAGGAGGCCCTATTGTCTTATTAATGTCAAAGAAGAAAGTGAGTCGTAAGTAGAACGTAAACATCAGGAAGTACAGGTCAAAATGGCCCTCGGTAATATTCGTAGCTATTTATGGCCGATTTAGCGAATGTATCTTAGGAAGTAAGGGGCATCATTAAACTGGATTTGATAGGTTTTATGTATGAAAACTGGAATGGTATAAGCTGTGTAATGCAATGCAAATTGGGATGATCAATTTTAATTTTGAGGGGTGACTTGAAAAATTCATTGACGTGATTATGCACGATTTCTATGACGATGTTGAACTGATTACTCTTTGGGAGATTGGGCCATATGACTGTAGGGTTTGTGAAGTTAAGTGAATTTATGCAGACGGGAAAATAGAAAACATGGTGATGTACCGGCAGTCCTCACAGTACAGTGCCTGGTAGTTGGTACCAGGGTGTACTGCGAAGAGTACCGCCGTCTGCGTTTGTCCAGGGGTTGGGGCCGCGTCGGTTATTACCCGTTGACGAATTGTGGGGTTTGTGCACAAAGTGCACATTGCACTCACTCTCGTCCCTGGGGTTCCGAAGGGGATGGAGATAGTGGGGGTACTATCCCACGCACCATCGATTGGTATACGGTTTGTGGCCTCCAGGGACGAGTCCAGGTCCCTCATCAGCTCGTCCAATGGGTCTAGTGAGGTAACTGACCCCAGCTCAAGAAGTTGTACCGCCGCTTCTTGGTCGTTCTGCTGTGTTAGTTTTAGATCATCTCTTATCGCCTCTGGGTTAAGGATAGGAGGGCCATCTGATGTTGAGGCCCACTGAGTGGCTCCCTGGTTAACTGTCGTAAAAGCCTCGAGGATGGGAGGGTTATCTGATGTTGAAGGTGCTGGCCACAGCTCGGGCAACTCAACTTGCGATGTCTGATTTTCGTCTTGGGATTGTAGCTGGGCGAGCTCGTCCCAGACTTCCTCGGGCAAAGCAGCATTCAGTATTGTGCACTGTAAAGAGAATAAACCATGTGAACGACTTTGTTTTAGTTTGACATATAAATATGTTCACTTGAAACGGGGCATGAAATGTGTTGTTTCGGCATTATGTTGTAGATATCAAATTTTGTCGGAACGCAGGTCCTTTCTATATGCTTATTTTGTGATGTTTGTCCCCTAAATATATGTAAATGTCTACTTTACAATTATAAGTGCGGTACGTATAAGTGTTGGCCATCAATCTTGATAATAATTCTGAATATTGGCTTTTGTTTCAGGACCTGGTTGAGACTGGATATCGTAGTGAGTGGGACTCGAATTGAAGTAGGAAGTTGGATTGCAAGATTTGGATCAAGAGTTTGAATAGTCATGTCCGCCCAATCTATATCAAGGTGGGGCCAGAGTACATGTGTACTTACGCTACAGTCTACGGGTCCTCCAGTAGAGCTTTTGATGTTACTTACGTAATCCAGTGGAATGTTGGTCACCGATACAATACAATAGTTGGTGGGGCACATCATCAATAATTTCAGTTCACATGAGGCGATATTCCTGAGGCAGAAGTATCTACGGAAGGCCCTTATGATACCAGTCAGCTTTTTGAAGAGTTTGTATGTTATATACAAGGATAGTATAAAGCTTAAAATAGACAGAATATTAGAAGGGAAGGCTGCTTGCTGTGGGAGGGGAACTGTTGGTGCGAATACTGGGTGATCCGTGGGTAGGAACAATGTGGCCGCCTTGGCTGGTTGCGGTATGAGTGCAACACAACATACTATACGACAGAATAAATAAGATGACATTACAAACGATACTAGAGCCAAGATGATTGAGATCAGGGTAATGGATGATAGTGATTTGTCTGATAGCCAACTGAGTGGTTCCCTTAATCCTGATAAGTCCGTTTGGACATGTTGTACTTGATCGATAGGTGACAAAAATGGTACATCCGTATTTTTAAGGGCTTCGGTTAGTCGTGACATTTTAAATGAAGTTGTTTTGGAAGTCATTAAGACCTTATTCCAGTCCGCAGAGTAGAAAGTAAGGTTGGGTAGTTGTACTGATAGATCTGAAGTCAAGTGGGATGATGCTGACAGTTTCTTTAAAGAAGTTAAATTGTAGTCGAAAGTTTGTAGAAAGGCTAAATTGAAGTGGTGTGCCCTTGAAACGAATGACTTCGAGGTGTGATTGCAGCTTGAGAGGGTTTTGGGTAAGATGAAATTTTGACCTTCCAAGGAGCAATGGCATTTCCTGGTTATAATACAGACCCCCCTGCACGCTGGAACCCTTTTTGGCATCGAATCATCACATCTAATGGTCCAGAATTTATCATTAGAATGTATAAGCGATTTAGTTGGCGTTAGCGTGATGATTTGATCTGATTGTGGGGCGTTAATATGGTACATAAACGAGCATAGTCTATTTATTTGAATGGGATCATTAAAGAATAGTGCTGAGTTACACGAGGGCTGAGTAGAAATTTGTTTTAGATTGAAGACGGTTGTACAATGTAGTAGGTGAGATCCGGTGCAGTCAGAAAATTGTTGCAAATTTAGTTCTATGTAGAAATCTAAATCATGAGATATGGCGAAATAAGGGGAAAGGTCTGAAATTGACGTGGAGTGGTTTGGGGTCCGTTTATTACTTAAATCGAGCGGAATTGGCATATGCATGTGGTGCATCTGATATAGATTGAAGAGATAATCGGAGCTTGAAATGGCGACTCTAATCGAAATTGTTATTGTATTCTCGGTGACCAGAAAGGTGGGGTTACTATTTTTGTAGTAATAATGGGGATCCAAGTAGGATATTCGAAAATTGGGATGTGAGGAGCGAAGGGTAGATTGGATATCTGACAGGGCCAATTTCAGTGTTGAGGGAGAAATTAAATGGGGTGGCAGACTACCTTGTACTAATTGGGATATTGCACTTAGATGTTGATTACATTCAATTTCGTGTTGCTGGAGGGCTGAAAGTTGAAGCACACAGAATCTAAGGATCATTTTTAGTAATTCAGAGTTTATTTGTAAGGCCAATGAGAGTTTATCATAGTAGCGGCCCTGCGAGGCTAGAACTGAAGTTAAATTTGCTATGGTATTATAAATGTTTTGAAATGCTGCGTGGTTATTGGCAGTTGCATGGTTCAAGTTATCTAGTCGCTTATTATTGGTGATCATGTATGAGGAGAGGTGTTGTCTGTATTGTACCGTGTTTTCAGAAGTAGAGTTAATGACCTTTTCAATTTCTTGGAGATGTCTCCAAACATTTGATATTTCTTTGCGTGAAGGTGTTCCAATTAGCGCTGAAAGTATTTCACTGCCGAAGTTTAATAATCCTCGACGGTGTCGTCGATTAGTGTTAAGAGTGACTTTGTGAGTTTTTGGGAGTAGATTATCGATATCCAAAGTACAGGAATGAATTTTGTCCGCCGTATGTTGGATGAGCGGTGCATAATCAATTAAAAGGGATGCTATTTGTTCGCAGTCATTATAGAATTCTTTGTGAAAAAGAGTATTGCATCTGACTTTAGGAGTTCTTCGTAGTATATTTGGAAGCGAAAATCTTTTGAGCCCGAAACTATGTTGCCAATAATCGTCGTTTGACGGTGTCATAAGTCCTTGTCGCTTAATTATAACTCCAAAATTCAATCTATTTAAAAGACTGGTAGGCATAGAAGTGTCTTGGCTAATTTGCATAGAGGGTGGTAGGTCTAGGCAATGAGTACTTGTAGTAGTAAGTAAAATTAAACAGAGACTTACCAATTTATCCATTGCTGTGTCCATGGTGCGTGATGTGTCTTGGTGTTGATTCAAAGAATTAATGTGTTAGTGGCTTAGATGTGTCTTGGTGGTGATTCCGAGGAGCAATGTTGAAGTGGCTTGGGTTGGGCAATAAATATATGAGTCTTGCATGAACTGTGGTCACGTGATGCTGGCGTTGCGTCATGAGGTTAGATTTTAGGCTTTTTTTGTTTATTATAGAGTTTCTTCTTTTTGACCTTGTGGGCCTGGGATTTTCAATATCGTGTAGGCTGCTCAATTGTGTGTGTGTGTGTGTGTGTGTGTGTAATGCATGTTCGTATTTTATTCCTTAAATATTTGACCCAATGGGTCGATAGGGACGCAGTGATTTTTCGCGCAGGTTTTTAGCTTGGGCAATAAAGTAGATTTTAAATATCGGGCCCTGTATATCTAATGGCCGGTCTCTTTTGTTTGCTGTTTTGTTTTAACCTCGTTTCTCTTAGGATGCTTGGGTTTAAATAATTGTTTATTATAATTCTCCGCGCGGAGAGTGAATCTGTCCTTTTGAAGGAAAGTAGATAATTATATGAAGCATCCATATGATATGAAGGTGGCCACCTATTACATTTTATATGCGCATTATTCACTTTTTAGACCCGCGAACAGGGATATATATCGTTTATTAAAATTCTAAATATATCTGCATATAAAGAGGTTCTTTTCCTTATCATTTACTCATTCTATTTTCTT